AGTTGAGGAGGAAAGCTAAACAGAAAAAAGTTGAAAAAGCGTTTCATGACTCCTTTAAGAGCTTGGTCACTGACGTCGCTTCGGCTTCTCTATCTAGCCCTTTCCGACAGGCAGATGAAATTCCTCCGTCCCGAACTGGGCGGAAGGGACCAGAGGCCTTGAGGGAAGGTCGCGAATAACCCGTTTTCCCCCCTCCTCCTCTTTCAACCCCCCCTCCTTTTTCCTTCTCTACTCCCTCCCCTGAACCTGCTCGATGGCCGTCGTTTGAACGGAGACGAAATAAATGTTGGTGAGAGTTGAAAGAGATGTAAGCGTCTGCTTTCGTCCCAAATTTTGTTTATTCTTTCCGATTGTTTAAGTATAATTACCAACACGCTCGTTTTTAATGTTAAATTCGGTCGCTGTAGCTATTTTACTATACGAAGTTGGTACTGGTGTGGGCCTTTAGCGACAATGAGTGGAAGTCTGGAATAATAAATAAAAACGTGCTCTCCTGGCGCAATAGACGCAGTGGTTGAGTTGCCAGCTGACTCCACTGCTATTGAAGTAATAGGGCAAAGATACGCTAGTTGATCATTTACTGAGATAAAACAACAGAGCGCTAAAGGCTGATTTTGGAGTAGCCATAAATATTCTAAGAATGCGAACCACTTCATAACGGCAGCCACGAGCAAGAGTTCGATGTTTGGTACAGCCTGTCGGTACAGCCCAGAGATGGAGAACGGCAACCTCCCTGTTTGTCGTCTGCTAGCAGAGTCGGGCGCGTGCCCTCTCTCGTTTTACCTCGCCGACCCTGCTGAACTTCCCGGATGTGTGGAGTGGGTGCTGTGGTCTAACAAAATGGCGCCGCCCTGAGAGAACTAAATGGAATGGTCTATAAGCTCCCTACGGAAGCCAGAGTTGCGCATCTGTTTTCCATGTGCCGCCGCGCCGCTATTCGCCGAGATCCGATCACGTGAGGAGCAGACTCAAATGCCGTGCAGGAAAGTAGACGTTGCGTGCGCCCCGGCGTACGTTCCCCTGCTTCAGTCAGATCCTCATCTGAATTCAGTCAGATGAGGAGCAGGATCACGTGCCGTGCAGGAAAGACGGCGCTACGGGGATAAACACGCAACTCTGGCTCCCATAGGGAGCCTATACAGGAACTCTGCAAGCACTGGTACCACAGATTGAGCAGCACCTACCTCTCCATGCTTATGCCGCAAACTCTCAGCCTTGGGGTTCGCCCGTGGTCGGCGCCAGGCATGTAGCAAGTGAAGGGGCCCATGGGGCTTGGCTCCCCCACCCCCCCCCCCCCCCGAAATCTTCCATTTTGCTGGGACCTCCTGTCCCCCTTCCCCCTCATACAGCATTTTGTCATAGGCGGCCCCAACCCCCCCCCCCCCCCCCTTGCCCGAAACAAAATCCTGGCTACGTGCCTGGTTGGCGCGGTCTCGCGCGGCGAGATGCAGCAGTGTCCTGTGACCAGTTAGAAACAATCTCGCTCACCAGGGCGTGCACAACTACATCCTCTCTTTTCCAGAGTGAGGGTAAAAACCGGATTTTAAGCCTTCTTCAACTTCTTACTAACTGTGCAGCGATATTACCAATTCTAAGCAGTCGCAAGAGATTAAAATCTGTTTTTGCACCCTCCGGTCATAAGCAGTCACGAGTTTGTGAAACAGCCATTAGATACATTTCATTTCAGTTAATTTATACCGCTAAAACGATATCAGTTTTGAGCAGTCAAAGCAGGATCAATCGAAACTTCGAGTTCAGACCAATATCCTTTTGCAAGTTCTTAATAAAGTATTCGCACGACTAGGTTTCTCCCTGAGCACAGGATTAAACGTCATCGAGCTCTAAACTCACGTGCTCCGCATCACGAATGTTCTCAAATCCCCCCAGCTCGTGGGGAGCCGAGGGGAATTTGTGACCGGCCGACAGAATATCTGTTGTTTCGTCAGAGCGACCAGGCCTCCCCTTTGTCCCCCTGCTTTTAGGAAGGTACAGCAGTTAAAGGGACCATGAAATGACTTTTTTACTTTTTCCAGATAACTTTTACATTAAACCGTCAATGTTCACTGAATGCCGAACAGGCATCCGTTTTCGTCTCGGTTTATTAACTTCTACACAAAAAATTAATGAAATATCGACTTTTTCTTGACCGCAAAACAAGCCGTGACGTACGCTGCTTCCGGAACCGGAAGTTCTCTCGGCAGTTGGAGATGGGAGCGTTAGCGGCGACGAGTTGGGGTGTGCCGGTAGGTTCTACTGCGCCGATGTCACCGACGTATTTTCTGAATCGGCGCCTCTCATCGCCGCATCGCAGCTGAGCGAAATTCAATGAGATACGTTGCGCTACAGCGACAGCATGGGACTAGTCCCATACGCCGTTTTGCCTGTTGGGAAGTGCAGCGAGTCTTCCGGTGAAGACTCCAGAAGTTAACCAAACTGTCATTGTTGGTAAAAGGCGGCCAGTGTCAGTCGTTTGCAAAGCGACGTAGATGGAAACAAATTGCCGCGGCGTTTTTCGCGGTCTCGGAGATGCAGGAGCGAGCCGACGTTAAAAAAGATACGTTTGAACTACGAGTGTCAGCAAGAGCCACGTAAATACCTGTTCACACTTGGAGCGGACGCGCGCGTTTGATGGAAGTGCTGTATTCGCGCTGTTGGTAAGCGCTTCGGGACCAATCTTTTACGATTGCAATTCGATACTGACGCGACACTCGGCAAAGAAAGGTTGGACCGGTATTGCGCGTATACCTCCCACGAACTGTTACAGCTCGACAGTGACGTGCAGTCTGTCAGAATAAAAATGGCATACCAATAACAAAGTGTACATACCGTGTTACGAAGGTAATCCATACCGCGTTTATTTCAGCTCTATATCACACAAAACAAGAAGAGAGAATTGACGAGGATCCCTTTTCGACGAGTGTTCGTCAACCCTGCCTCGGAAAACAAGGGGAAGAGATTGACCTCACCTCTTAACCTAAAATTGAGGTCAGCGATCAAACTATAATACGGGAAGGGTCCACAAGGGTAGCGCGGGCATATTCCATTCAGCGCGCCAGCCAATCGTAGGCAGACAGACGGTCTTGCGACGAAGCAACGCTGCGCCGAGTCGGAGTGCCTGCTAGGCCTATATATCCTGAGAGCTTCGTAGGAGCGGGATTCGCGGCTGTTGTCGCTCTTCTCGGGTGTTTGTGGATCCAGCGTTCTTGTTCGTCGTGGTCTGTTTTAAGTACATTTTTTTCTTGCTGCTTGAAGTCAGCACGCGCGAGATGAAGACGTAGAAAAATAAACGTTCAGTCAGTCAGAGTTCTGAGAGGAAGGAAACCAAAGGAAATCACCATTCTGAACTCGGCCCTGCCCTACTGCGCACGCGCAGTGGTTGCTTCGTTTACCACACGATAGATGGCGCTTGGCTCTCAGCATTATCAAATTTGGCAATTTTCGCCACACATCTCTAATTATGCTACAAAATGTGGATCTGAATATTATTTAACAAAACTTTTAGGAAACATTCGCCGGCTATTTATTGTTTATGATCGCGGTGCTGGTGAGGTAGGCTCTTACCCAATAGGCGACCTGGATTTGGCTGACGTGCTCCATTTCCGCGGATGCATCGTAGTGAACAGGCGAAGGAAGGAAGGCGCAAAAGAGTCCAGTTTTCTTTTAAAAGTTCTATAGCAAATAATTTTTTTTGGCTCCCTAGTTTTGTGTTTTTGTGTTTCTTTTCACACCTTTTACGACGTGCGGTGGATGAAATTCGATTTTAAAATCATTTCATGATCCCTTTAACAACATTTAGGTGGGCGCCTTTTTTAAAAAAAAAATTAATATGCTTTTTGTTTGACAAGTTTCCGAAGGTCGCCAGCACATTCGAAAAAGGAAAGACTCCGGCAACTCCGACTCGGTTGTGCGAATGCTTGCTTGAAATTTCTGCACTGCCTCCTCCTTCTCGTTTTTTCCTTCTCGCAGCTCTACGACATACTCAATTTTCTCCAGCATTAATGATTTCTCATGAGATACCCCGTCACCATTATGCACATTTACAAGGCGATCAAAAGCCTTTTAGCTGCACGAGCAGTTTCTTTGAAGCTCACTACCCATACAGGCATTGTATTCGATCGACTTGTCTTCCTTTTTTCTTAAAGGGGCACTAAACCAATGTCTGCGAAAGTCTATTTACGGTCATAAATGTGGATGTGTCTGCAATAGTTCCCGAGGAATCGATTTCTGATGCCGATTTAAGTAGCAATAGCTACTTAAATTGGTTAAGTGCTTCTTTAATTTTTTAACAGACAATTGCTAACCAACAGATTAAAGCAGGCTCCTCTGTTCCGTGCAATTTGCTCCGTAATCAGTCGGTCAACTTGGCCGTCAAACTATATCTTCGATCTGATATGTTTGGTATACTATCCCTATCACGTGAGCGGATAGTTGAAATAGCTGCAAGGCTATGTCCTTTTTATCAAAGTAGACCATCTTCTGTGGTGAAGCTAAGGTTCTTGAGAGGCAGGTGCTTTCTTGTGGCCCTTGTGGGTTGCTCTTCACATGTCCGTTTGTAGAGCAAGGTTTAGCATGGTGATGGGGTATCTTTTTGGTGGTAGTCTTTATCCGTGCCACAGTTTTCAAGGGCATAAGAGCATTATTTGGTTGACTGACACTTGGTATTGTGAGTCAAGTAGATTGTCACGGCTGTGCTCATCTTCTTTGTCAATGCTTTCAAAATATTGAGAGGTTATTGTCTAATTGGCCACTAATTGTAAGTTGGCTTTGTTACAATTTTTTGTCCTCTGATTCCGAGTTATCAGGTTGTAAACCAGACCGAGGTGCCTGCAATTTGACAGGCTTACTGTTCTGCAAGGTCCATCAATCTTAACAATACCTAGGTGGTTGAGATGAATCTTCAAAGCTCTACTCTAATTATTTTTATGATTTTATTATTTTTGTTCTAAGTGATTGCTTCTTTTATGCTTTGTATTTTCAGAAGTGGGCCTTCAACTCCTTCAGCTGGTGCTGCAAGCCTGCTGGCACAACTTGTGGCCCAGGTACCAGAATGAAGAGCTGAAAGCACTGTTCGAGCGAGAGGACCAGTGGCCCTTGCGCAGCTCGAAAACCGGACCGGGCAGTCATCAGAGCTATTTATGTTCCACTTCCATTAGCTCCAAGATGTTTCGTTGGCACCCTTTAATGGTTTCCGTCCGTGACGTCACAAACAGAATTTCCCTTGTCCTGATTGGCAATATTTGCCTCTACCTCCCTGTAATTGGCAGGATTTCCCTCCCCGTTAGCCGGCATTTGGGTAAGCATTATCAGTATACAGGAAGCTATGGTTCGGCGGATCGCAAACCCAACTACAGCGACGCTTTTTGTCGTGCACGTTGCTAATAGTCTGCGCCACTAGTTGTGTGCAGTGCAAGCGAAGCAACTCCAGGCAAAAAAAAAAAAAGGGCAAGCACTAGGAAGGCTGGACAGAAGAAGAGGGCGAGGCGAGAGAGAGAGCACTAGGAACGTTAGAGAGGAGGGTAGGTTTCTCCCCTCCCCAACCTTTCTAGTGCTTGGCCTTTCTCCCCTCGTCTGGCGTTGCCTTTGTCTGTCCTTCACGTAATTATAGTCTGTTACAACTCAAGAATGTAAGGAAAGGGAAAGGAAGGCTGGGGAGGAGGAAGCAGACGAATTGCTGGAGAAGAGAGGAGGAAGTTTTTCCCTCTTCTATCTAGCATTCCGTCTGCTTCCTCCTCCCCGACCTTCTTTTCCCTCGCCCCATCTTCTTGAGCTGTAACTTACTATAATGAAACAGGGTATACGGGACATGTTGCTTTTTGAAACAATCAAGACTCATGAAAGATTGATAAGAGCCTGTTGGTATGGTTATTTTAATCTTTAGTGGAATAGACCGATCTCACTTAGCGTTCAGCGCATGTGTGAAGCCGCCATAACTTTAGTTCACAAGAGGCAGGTGGCAGTGCTTGAGACACCTCGTGCCGTCTCGCGCTTTGCACGCGCAGAGCTCCAGCGAGGTTGGGGCACATGCAGAAAGAGGAAAGTTCCCTTGATGCATTGCAGCAGCAGTGGCTTAGCCAAACTGACCTGTGAAATCAGTCTATTACAACTAAAAAATTGAAATTATTTGTATAAGTTAGGCAATTCCTTGTTATGTATTTGCCAAATATAATTGTTAGGTGTACATCCTTTAGAGGAATGCTGAAGCGAAATTTTGATTTCGGGAAACAACGCAGAAGCGCTACGCAGGACGCTACAAACCTGAAAGCATCATGCATAAATCAATATTTCTAACGGATGGTTGTATTTTTGTGAAAGAAGAGCATGCTTGAACAATGGCCAAAAAGGCCCGTGACGTCGTGATTCTGGTTTCCTCCTTTTCTCACTTTGACTCCGCGAGGACGCGAAAAGGGAAAGAAGCAAAGCCGTTTCCCCCCTCCTCAACTATTCTGCAGGAAACACGATGTCGCGATTCTCACTTATCGCATCCTTATTTTACAAAAATATGGCCATCCGTTCGAGATATCGCTTTATGAGTGGTGTCTAGGGGTTGGTGGCGCCCCGTTGAACACTCCTGCTACCTTATTTTGGGAATTCTAAATTTCTGTTCCTTTCCTTTAAGACCGGTTCACATTAGCACTACACCTGTGCTGCCAAGTTATTAATCTTGGTGAAGCTTTTAAAGTACTGCATTAAGTCGGTTTGGGGATGCATCACGCTACGATTTACGACAGAGGTGCCCGAAGGTATTGGAATCACTGCATCAAAAGCTCAAAGAACAAACTTACCTGAGTAAAAGGTAAACAAATGACTATTTTTTTCTGCCTACGGCGCCCGTCTGCTAACTGTGCACCCTTTGACTGGCTCAATAACTGACAGATGGCGACATCAACCCTAGCGGCTTGTAGCTGCTCAGCAGCCGCCCAGTCACACCAAAATCGCACAACCTTTTTGAGTCATAAATGGTGCACACTTTTTCGGTGCTATAATTGTCAGAACATTATTTTATTTTCACCCCCAAAAATCACATTAAATGGACACAAAAATAATCAAACCGATGGTTCGTTGAATAATTTCAGCTACATGTGGTGTGCTTTTGGCGTGACCGTGGAGCTACTGAACTGCCATAAGGCGTCGGTGCCGTTGCCGCCATCTGTCGGTTGTTGTGCCAGTCGGAGGATGCGCATATACTAGCACACTGGTGTCATAGGTAGCCAAACCAGTTTTTTTACTTTTTACTCGGGTAAGTTCATTCTTTGAAATTTTTTCTGCGATGCTTTCACCACCTTCAGGCACCTCTCTGGTAAATCGTAGTGCAATACATTGTGAAGCCAATTTATGCGGTGATTTGAAAGGCTTCACCCAGATTCGGGGCATTACAATAGTGCAGTACTATTAGTAAGTGCTGGGAATAGTGCTGATTTTGCTCTTTGTTAATGATCTGATGCTCATACACTGCTGCATCAGTACTAAGTTATGTTCAAGTCAGCACTGTTTTACTGTTGATTTAGCTCTGTGCTGTATATGTGAGCTATCCCTTATAGTCGTTTCTCAAAAAGTTGATAACTCTTGCATGTTTGCAGTGCACACGATTATGATAATGGGAGGGCTTTTGCTTCTTCTGCCTAGTGATTGTGCGAGAGTGAAGAAAATTATAGTTTGTGGGAGTAAATCGCTAGAAATGTATACTAATTTCAATTTCTTAAGCTTACATGCAGCAAGACAGGTATCGTACAGTTTTTGCAATAGGTCGTTTTGTTTGGTTTGACTTTTTTAAAGCTTGCAATAAGCTGTCAATTTTTCCGGCTTTCAAAATTTTTACACGCTTGATGACATTTTTGCAGGACTGTCACTCACTCTTAAAGTTACTGAGACTATGAAACGATGGAAAAGGAAACTAGCACAGAAAGGTAGATAGTTATAAACATGTTTAATGTGAACTGTTAAAAATAAGGGTGTACCTTGGTCTTTCTTTTTTTTTTTTTAAAGGTTATTACAACAAAATTTTAGCACTAATTGTACTGTCTAAATGTTAACCATGTTCTGCCCACACCATGGAGACACCGATTTTTTTTTGCTAAAAAAGGCGCCGAAACATTATTTAAATAAACCAAATACTGTCACGTCACACCACATAAAAGCAGCACCGCTACACGGGAACATGGTGGCAGGCTGTGTGCGCCCGAGCCCTGTCTAACTTGGCTGAACCGGTTTTCTTTTTTCTCCCGTGATTATTCAACTCCTGCGGAGAGCGAGGAGGGACAACTCAAGCGGCCAGCTTGCAGTGCATTGACATCATCAAGTGGCGAAGCTCACAGCCACGCCAGCCCCCATATAGCCTTGATTGAAGGAGAACCAGACGTCACGAACGTGTAAGCTCACAACCACGCCAGCCCCCACGTAGCTTTGACTGAAGGAGAACCAGACGTCGCAAACGTGATGCATATCGGGAGATCTTCTGAGACACTAGTTCTAGATGTTTTGTGTCTTTTTGAGCAAAAAATTGGTGTCTCCACTGTATGGTCAAAACATGGTTGACATTTAGACAATAAAATAGGCACTACAATTTCGTTGCTATATCACTTTAAAACGATTCTGCCCTTTACCATATTTTCAGTATCAGTAGTATTGATATTGCTTTGAAGAAACTGTCTTCAATTCACTTCTTGAGAAAAGTCTACTCCCCACCTGGTTTGCAAGGTTCATACAATAACGTCGGAAACATCTGTTGTGTTGATTGTGAGTACATTTTAACTTAAATGCTTGTGCTTTTTTGGTTACAGGTCCCTTCCAGCACTACGCAGGAAAGAGAATGGCCAACAGCGGACTGATTGCAGGAAGATTGATTGCATCTGCCGCTACTACATATAACGAGCAAGCTGCGACGTCTAAGAAGGAGCAGTCAGAGTGTTTAACATAAATAAGCTGAGGTAAAAAATCTGTGACTCTCATATTATGTTTTATCAAATTCTGTTAAGTTTGAGGTAATTTATTTCAATATTTTAGGACTGATTAAGGAAGAACTTTGAACTTATGGTATGGCTCCGTCAGGATGTGGCGTACCTCATTGCCGTCTACTGGATTTTCCACATCCACTACGTAAAGAAGGCACATAAGATGCTGACTTTCATTGAACGTGGTTTTGCCGACTGCTACATGAAGCCACGGGTGAAGGCACTGGAATTGATAAATTTCTACAGAGCGATCGTGGCTTGTGTACCACAGTTAGCCTAGCGTACCCTACATTGTAATAAATACCCCTGTCAGTCGGGCATTTAAATGGCCTTCGGAATGAATTCCTTCAAAGAATCGGCAAATCAGTTCACAATCTCGGCTTTGCCTGTGCCCTTTGGTGTTCGCAGACATTTTTTGAGGAGTTTGCTCTGAAGGCCATTTAAATGGCCGTCTGACGGGGTATAAGCGCCGTCTGACGGGGTATAAGCCAGTTTGCGCCCAAGGCAAAATGAGCTCTTGTTACACGACATGTGCAAAAAATATTCATAATGCAATAAATTTATTTCGTGCATTGTGCTACCTGCTTATGCCTTTCCTTCCACACTTCCTGGCTTTGAAGAAACTCCTAGATGGATGCGAAGGAATACTCCCGTAGGTATACGACTCTTAGGAGGATGTGAAAGAAGACTCGCGTGGGTCCACGTACTAACTCCCAAATGGATGTGAAAGAATACTCCCTTAGGTCCCGGCTGTAACTCCCAGGTGGATGTGAGAGAATAGTCCCATAAGTGCACGTAAAAACTCCCATATGGATGTGAAAAAATAGTCCCATAAATGCACGTAAAAACTCCCATATGGATGTGAAAAAATAGTCCCATAAATGCACGTAAAAACTCCCATATGGATGTGAAAAAATAGTCCCATAAATGCACGTAAAAACTCCCATATGGATGTGAAAAAATAGTCCCATAAGTGCACGTAAAAACTCCCATATGGATGTGAAAGAATAGTCCGATAAATGCACGTAAAAACTCCCATATGAATGTGAAAAAATAGTCCCATAAATGCACGTAAAAACTCCCATATGGATGCGAAAAAATAGTCCCATAAGTGCACGTACAAACTCCCATATGGATGTGAAAGAATAGTCCGATAAATGCACGTAAAAACTCCCATATGGATGTGAAAGAATAGTCCGATAAATGCTCGTAAAAACTCCCATATGGATGTGAAAGAATACTCCCGTGGATCCACGTAAGCACTCTCAGGTGGATGTAAAGGAACATTCCCGTGAGTCCACGTAAAAACTCCCATAAGGATGTGAAAGAATATTCCCTTGGATCCACCTAGGAACACTCTGATGGAAGTAAATAAATACTCCCATTGATCCATGAACAGACTCCCGTACTGCTGGGAGTTCTGTACATACTCCCTTGCATCCCCCAAAAACCTCTGGCCTGCGTGGGAGTTCATTCTGAACTCCCATCCTGCAGAGTATAAAAACCTCCCATAAGGGAATGCGCTAGAGGACAAGCGATGTACTCCCATCTGGGTATATTTTCGTTTAGTGTGCAGGCACGTAATCGTGCATTTGCAAAAAAAACTAACTCTTTTTTATGCACTTGCGTTTAAGATGAACGAGTACTTTCTTACGTTAAAGCCAGGGATATTCTTCCTCTGTGAAATAACACCTGCAGTGACTTTGCCGCAGTAAACATATGTACATTTACGTAACCTTCATCTCTCGAGAATCTTTACGAGCTTGCTGTTAGCCCAGCAGCGGGGAAATTTTTCACCATTGCTTATCGCACTTTGCACGAGCCCCAACGTTTGCACAAATGCCGAGGGGTATGTTATGTCCTTGACATAATACACCGTTAGTCAAAGGAGTAGAGCCTTCTCCAAAGTAGCGTCATTTAGCTTGGTAATTTCGCCAGGCCCTCCACAAGAGACGATTTTTGTCGATATGCCCCAGAAGATCCTTGGGCCAGGAGATGCTGTGTCCTCAGCGGAGACGTCGCTCTGAAAAGGTGTTTCCTTTTTCAGAAAATACGCTACACACTATACATATATAACATTGTGCAACACTCTCCCCGGACACCTATTTAGGTTTCACTGGTACGCCTGTACAATGGTATTGTAGTGCAGTTCTAAAAAAATTAACTTAAGCTGTCTGTGCCCTTGGCCTGTCTAGCTAGTTCCCAGTGCTAAGATGGTGAAAGCATCCAAAAACCAAGGAATTTGCAGAAAAAATTCACAGCTGCTTTATACAAATCAAGTGGAACCTTTTAAACTACATAAATAATAGCCAATGACAACAAATGTCTTGATTTGTTTGCACAAATATCTCGCTCACCAACCAGCTTACCAAGGTTCCAATTGCTATCCCTAGCAGTGTTAATCATTTTTTATGCTTAACTAATGTGTGCACTGTGCCAATGCTGTTTATGAATTTATGTACATATATAATTTCGTTGTTCAACAGCTGAAGTTAACAGTACTATCAAGGGAATCCTGCCCGTGTCATCAAGGCGACAGTTGTTGCCTTAATTACTTTTTAACCACGTGAACAGGAAGTTGATTCAATTATTGCAAAACAACCGTGTTAACCACAACATATGCATGTTGGTACTCACCAAGCAAAATTTCAGCAGCAGTGCAGGTACTGTTGTTCATGACCCCAGAGGTACCGATGCTGTCACCTTGCGAAGTAGACCCTTGCATGTTGTCAGAAAAATCGCATGACTCGCCTTCAAATATACCTGCAAACAGAGCGAATAATCAAGCTGCATGAAGTCAGAAATGTCATTGTTGATGTCGTATAGTCATAAATACTGTCAATGTCTACAATTATGCTGTCCTCACGTGGTCTTTTTATCTATATGGCAGCAAAAATGACACTTTCATTACTTCATTTTATGGAACTGGTATGAATCTGGCATCACACGAGAACATCAAATGTTTTTACTGGCAGTATTAGCTTCCTGGTCAGCAGCTGGCATTAAACATTTGTTTAAATTTCCAAGCCCACAGTATTCTCTAAAAGGCACAAATAAATGGGTGCTCTAGCACCATCTTTGTTTCCCTTAAGCAGAAAGAGCTGTAGAAATAAACATGGCTGTAAATTGTCTGGGGTTATACAAAGTCACTTGTGGAATGTTTTCTCCACTTTTAGTTTAAAAAGCTGTGCAACAAGCTTGACATTGACGGCCGAGTGTAAAATCATCACAATACCGCCCCCTCAGAAAAACAAAAATTATGCAACCCAGAAAGAGAAAAACAAGACGTGAGAACTTCTAAATAACTTTTTTTTTTTTTTTTTTGGGGGGGGGGGGGGGGGGTGCAACAAGCACATAGTACCTGTGTGTGCTGGGTGGCTATGTTTTTTTGTTGTAATGCCATTTTATGCAGTACTCGATGCCGACAGCACGAACTCACAGAGGTTATAATATTAATAATAATTTTTATTTGCACAGTTGGGTTACTCACTCGGCAGCGTGCAAGGCTAGACAGAAAGGTTGAGACCCGTACGCAGGTGCGCCTGTTAGCCCGCCGCCAAATGGGGGAAAAAACGAAGAAAAAAAAAGACGATAACAGGCAATGATGGGTGAACAAGACAGTCAAACATAAAAATACGCGTAAAAAACGGGTAGCAATCCTTTGAGCCGCCGCCGCCACCGCCATCACCATCCCCAACCCCAACCCCCCCCCCCCCCTCACCTCTCCCCCTTATGTTGCTGTACCAGGCACCCGGCGCGGGGGTCCATATCACATGAGCGAATGACATTTTAGCGAAGAGCGACATTTGAGCGAATCGACGTTTTAGCGAATAACGGGGGCGCCCGTTAACCCATCCGCCGCGCTGCGGTTTACGCCGCTTCGCGGCGACAGTCTGCGGCGGCTCATTACAAAAATGTGAACCCAGTTGGCCCACCCGAAAACGCCGCTTCGTGGCGTCCGACTGTTCGCTAAAACGTCATTCGATCAAGTGAGTGCCTCCCCCTACGTGAAACTAAAACTCAAGTGCAATAACGGCATACGTCTCGGTAGCGTCACACGGAACAACGCAACGTTATTACCGCGGACAAGTGCATACCGAAGCGGTCGGGTACTCAACGGTGTTTCGAACACGCGTGCCCCTCGACTGACACACACAGACACACACACACACACGCACAAAAACATGAAATAAAAGCGGCACTTACTAATCCGTGCGTGCTGTACAGGGCTGTGGCCGCAGTAAACCATGTCGCTTGGTGAGGAGCCGCAGGTTGGCTGCAGTTGTCGAGGGCCCTGCTGTAGCCATCGCACTCGCAGTTGCTTGCGTGGCATTGACCTCGCAACACATCTTTGATGTCTTGCGATGAATACATCACCGCCGCAGATTTCAAACCAACTTTCCTTTTTGAACGGTGTGGCTTGCGCGAAAAAGAGAACGCGACGACGACAATGCAATTTCGCGCGACTACCGGCCAAGCTACGCCTTTTGCGCGGGCTGAGCATGCGCGGTAGGACTCGCAAAAAAATTCTTGTTTTTGTTCTCAACTTTTCAGAGAGAGAGAGAGAAAGGGACTTGAGAGAGGGAATGGGGCTCGAACCCTTTCTCTTTCTCAAGTGTGCGCCGTGCGCCCCGCCGCCGACAGCGGTGAGGGGGAGACGCGGAGACACGCGGCTTTTGCGGGCTTTTGTGCTTCATTCGCGCTTTCTTTTCTTTAAGCGGGACGGTGCCCTTCGGCTTCTGTCAAGTGAGCCCCATAAAGACGTTCGGGGGGGGGTTAGGGCCGTTTACAGGTGGTACTTCGATCTTTTTGGGCAGCTTCCAGAGGCGTCACGGATAGTTTTCTTCACAGGGCTGCTTATATCCCGTGTCTTAGGCGGGAC